ACAGTATTTGTCTTTCTCTGTCTGACTTACTTCACTTAGTATGATCACATCCAGGTCCATCCATGTTGTGAAAATGGCATTATTTCCTTCTTCTTACGGCTGAGTAGTGCTCCATGGTGTATATGGACCACATCTTCCTTATCCATTCATCTGTTGATGGACATTTAGGTTGCTTCCATGTCTTGGCTGTTGTAAACAGTGCTGCAGTGAACCTACATTGAAGTGCATCTGTCTTTTCAAATTGTGGTTTTTCTCCAGATTTATGCCTAGGAGCAGGATTGCAGAATCATGTGATAGCTCTATCCTTAGATTTTTAAGGAAACTCTAGGCTGTTCTCCATAGTGACTGTACCAATTTACAGTCTCATTGACAGTGCAAGAGGGCTACCTTTTCTCTACACCCTCTCCAGCACTGGTTATTTGTGGATTAAAAAGCAAACCTTTTAAATTTCTGTTTATAATAGCTTCAAAAAACACATAATACTAGAAATACATTTTTGTTAATGTGCAAGAGTTCCACATTGAAAGCTAAACATTTCTTAGACAAATTAGGAAGACAAATAAATGAAGCAAAACAATAAGCTTTGTGCTGGGAAACTCAACACCAAGAGGCCTATCCTCTCCACACATGCCTGTCTATTAACTCCAACCCATTAGGAACTCCAGAGAGTTTTTAGTCATAGAAATTGGCAAGCTAATTAAAATTGGACATTTAATAAAGCAAAAGACCTAGAATGGCCAAAGTGATGGAAAAGAAAAATGAACTTTGAGGACTGTCCTTCCTGACGTCAGGACTAGCTGAAACCTGGGGTAACCAGAGGAGCATGGCCGGCCAGGACAGGAGCCCAAGAGATGGATGGGAGACACAGACACGGACCCTCACTTTCAGGAACAACTGACTTTTAACAGAGACTAAAGCACCCTACCGGAAAAACAGAAGTCTTTGAACAAATGGAAATCCACACACAGACAAAATAAACCTCAGCCAAAACTTGTTTCACACACAAAAATTAACTCAAGATGGAACATGGGCTTAAACATGAATGTGAAAGCCACAGGCTTCTGGAAGAAGGCATAGAAGAGCTTCCCAACCCTGGACAGACCCAATCTCCTGAGACAGAACACAGGAAGAAATGATCTTTAAAACTATCAATTAGATTTCGGCAAAATTTAAACTTTCAACTGAATAGTCAAACCTTATTTTGGGAGGCAATATTCACAACATATGTATTTGGCAAAGAGTTTATGCTAGAATATATGAAGAATGAACTTCTTCTATGATGTAATAATATAAACAAAGATCACATAAAAATGGGCAAATGGTTGTGCACATATTTCATTGAAAAGTATATGAATGGATAACAAGCACATGAAATAATTCTCAACATCATTAGTCACGGGGGACATGCACATTCAAACGACAACCTGTCACCCTTCCAGATGGCTGAGACTAAAATGACTGGCAGCACAGCGTTCCAGGGAGCTGGCAGGAAAGTAAAATGATACAACCTCTCTGGAAATACCAGACCATACCTTATAAAAATAAACATACGAGGACCCTGTGACCCAGGAATTATAAGCATTCACCAAAAAAGGATGACAGTACCTATTCACAAAAATATGTGCTCAAGATCGTTCATAGTAGCTTCATTCGTAAACGTAAGAAATTGGAAATAAACTTGGTGCTCATTAACAGGAGAATGGATAAACAAGTTAACACACTCCAGCAAGGACTGCAGCTCAGCAACTAAGAGGACTGATCACTAACAAACATAGCTACATGAGTAAATTTCAGAAGCATTATCTCTAGGGAGAGCAGCCAGGCACAAAACATACATGCATACGACGCTACTTAAGTAAGATTTTAGGACAACCTAAATTGTTCTGTGGAGAAAATAAAGCTGAACACTGTTACCTGGGAGCAGGGGGAATGGGATGCATACTGGCTGAAGGAGAGCGTGAGAGAGTTTTCTGTGCTGGTGATGGTATTCTGTCTCTTGATAGAGGTTTACATTACAGAGATATAAACATTTGTCAAAACTTATCAAATGTGCACTCAAAATGTGTGCATTTAGTTCAGAATGAAACTAGACATATGTAAATAGTCGACTCTACTTAGTGATACACACACTGAGAAGTTTGAGAATCAACTATCCTGATGTCAACTTACTTAGAGACACATCAAACTTACAATAAGGAGGCTGGACAGAAGGATATACGTGTCATGCGCCAAATACTGAAGAATCATCTAGATGGTGAGTGCTCTCTGTATGATTTTTTATGTTAAAAAATTTTTATAACAGAACATTGGGAATATAAGCAGAAATTACTCACTTTAACAAAATAAAGGAAAAAATCGTATAATCATATCAATACACACAGAAACAAAAAACTGAATACTAGCTTATGTTTCAAACCCTTAGCAAACCAGGAATAGAAGGCATTTTACTAATTAAAAAGTACCTTATACACACACACACACACACACACACACACACACACACACACACATACACAGAGCAGCTAACATCAAACTTAATGGTGAAATATTGAACACTCTCCCCCTGGGGTCAGGAACAGACAAGAATGTCTGCTCTTACTACTTCCATTAAAAATTGCTCTATGAATCCTCTCCAGAACACTACAACCAAGTTCAAATTTAAATAAAGAAGTGCATACAAAATGGAAAGTTAGAAAGTCGCAAAATTGCCATTGTTCACATATATTTTTATGTACATAAGAATATAAAAATCTACAAAAAACTCTACAAAATATTAGGAATAAATAAATTTGTAAAGCCACTTGATACAAGGCCAATATATAAAATCAGTTAATAATATTTCTATAGCTACAAAGTAATTGGAAAACAGAATTTTTTAAAATGCCCACAGCATCAAAATATATAACATGTGTGCAAAACCTACACATTTAAAGTAACAAAATATTTGCCAAGAGACATTTAAAAAAGACCAAAATAAGTGGAACAATATAACAAGTTTGAGGATTGGAAAACTAAAAAAAAAAAAAAAATAGTTAAAACACTTATTTTCCCAAACTTTCTCTGTAGATTTAATTGGTATTTCAATCAAAATATCCCAACAAGTTCTTGTAGAAATTGAGAAATTGATAATTTATGTGGAAATGCAAAGCACCTAGAAAACCAAGACTGTCTTAAACCAGATGAGCAGTTGGATGTCTTAAACTACTTGATTTGGAGATCCACCATAAAGCTACAATAGCTAATTTTGTGGTGCTGGCATAAAGTTCAAAGGAACACTGGACAAGGTGTAGAAATACAATTGTTCATAACTGTCTGTTATTTGTTGTTGTTGTTGTTGTTCAACTGCTAAGTTATATCTGACTCATTGCAACCCCATGAACGGCAACACACCAGGCTTTCCTGTCCTTTATCAGCTCATGGAGTTCACTCAAACTCACGTCCATTGAGTGGATGATGCCATCCAACCATCTCACCCTCTGTTGCCCCCTTCTCCTCCTGCCTTCCATCTTTCCCAGCATCAGGGTCTTTTCCGATGAGTCTGTTCTTCGAATCAGATGGCCAAAATGTTGGAGCTTCAGTTTCAGCGTCAGTCCTTCCAGTGAATATGCAGGACTGATTTCCTTTAGGATGGACTGGCTGGATCTCCTTGCAGTTCAAGGGGTTCTCAAGTCTTCTCCAACACCACAATTTGAAAACATCAATTCTTCAGCACTCAGCGTTCTTACAGTCCAACTCTCACATCCATACATGACCACTGGGAAAACCATAGCCTTGACTATATGGACCTTTGTTGGCAAAGTGATGTCTCTGCTTTTCAATCCATCCCTTACGTAACAGTCCCTTATTGGCGGGTGGATGCTGCAGGCTCTGCAGTGATGTTGCCTTCCTGACCTCGGGGGTCTGTGTCAGCTCCCTTGCTCTCCTCATCAGTCCTCTCAGCGGGTGGACAGCCTTTTGACCTAAATATTGAACTCTGAATTGATGAAGGTCAGCGATCTTTTCTGGGCACCCAGAGATTCCAGAGAGAAACCGAGGGTCTGTCTTAGTTGGTCAGCGCTTTTCGGTGAGCTAGGACGTGCTCACTTTCAGGTGTCTTTGAGGCGTTAGATGCATGAGCAAGGTCTCGCCATAAAGACAGGAGCTGGAGGTAGGCCCTTGTGAGTTATCTGTGAGGCTGCAGGGGGACAGGGAGAAGGCCAGGCCTACTGTGTGCACCCGTGGCAGGCAGAGGGACCTGAGGCCCCTGGGGCAGGGGAGCACCTGGTGAGGGCCACGTGCATCTGTGAGGCTCGCCTCCAAGGCTGCGGCAGGCCCAGACAGATGCCCAGGTGGCTTGGATGTGGGGAGGGCCCACATTTCCCAGGACGTGGAGCTCATCCATGTGGGGGCCCTCTCAAGGAAAAGCACCGCAAAGAATGACTAGAAGTTAAGGAGCTGGCCCCGCGGGGGCCCCAGAGCCGCCCCTGATGAGCCGCCTGGTGGACCCAACTGAGCGGTGGACCAGCCATGTCAGCGTCACTGAGCTGAAGGCGACCGAGGGCCCACGTGGGCTGTGGTTCCCGGAGTCGACCCCTCCAGTGACTTTCCAGGCCCAGAGCAGGGCTGGTCCTCGGTCCCTGCCCCCGCACCACCATGCACGCACACACACACGCTCACAGACAGACCCGGGGCCAGGGCTCACATCCCTGCCCCGTCGGGGTCAGAGTGAGGGAGCGCTGAGCAGGGATCCCCATGCCAGGATGGGGAGCGGTCACTGGCCAGCATCCAGGCTGCAGGTGCCCTTGGGGGTACCTGAGGCCCCACCATCTTCTGGGGAAGCTGACCACACGTCCGATCACCCCTCCATCCTCATCTCAGGGCCCAATGTGTGCTGGGCAGCCGCCCCCTGTTTTGGTGAAACGTCAGTAGGAAGCGGGAAACATGAAAGGAAGAGAAACGCCACCCCCCAGAAGGGGTGCCTGCCCTTCCTGGACTTGGCAACCCTTCCCTGGGGAGGAAGGATGGGCCCCGCAGTGCCTGAGAGGGACGGGGAGGGGCCGTCCGCGGGACGGGCGCAAGGACCAACCCCGCTCCCGGCCTGGAAAGTCACGGGAGTCGTCAGGGGGCCACAGCCCCCGGGGGCCCTCGGTCACCTTCAGCCCGGTGACGTTGACACGGCGGATCCCGGGTGTTCAGGGCAGCAGATCCACACCCTGGTCTGGGTGGGTCTCCAGGTTAGGTATTGTTTCCCTGGGAGTTCCGCTGGTAAAGAATCCACCTGCAATGCAGGAGACCCCAGTTTGACTCCGGGATCAGGAAGATCTGCTGGAGAAGGGACAGGCTGCGCACTCCAGTATTCTTGGGCTTCCCTAGTGTCTCAGCTGGGAAAGGATCCACCTGCAATGAGGGAGCCCTGGGTTCAACCCCAGGGGTGGGAAGATCCTCCGAGAAGGGAGCGGCTACCCACTCCAGTATTCTGGCCTGGAGAATTCCATGGACTGTAGAGTCCATGGGTCGGAAAGAGTCGGACACGACTGAGTGGCTTTCACCTTTCTCTTTCTCCAGGTTAGGATGCAGACTCATCTCACAGAGCTGAACCTTCTGTCGGCTTTCTCCTGAGAGAAGTTTCCAGGGAGCTGAGGATGGGAAGGCCCCTGAGCCGGGACAAGCCAGAGCCAAAGAGCTTCTGTCCAGAGCTAGACTTTGCCAGCGCTGTGCGGACGCGGGCTCCTGCCGCAGCCCCAGTGCCGTCAAAGCAGCTAGCAGCTGCGTTTCCAGCCAGCGTTGTGGTCAAGCTCCCCACCCTCACAGAGCCGGGCTTTACACCCTCTGGCTGGGAAGTCTTCCCAAAGTTCCGGGCTTCCCCTCTAAGAGTCAGTTTCAGAGCAGCAAGTGGTCAGCCTGTGATGTGGTGAGAGGGGCGGCCCTGCGGGTTCCAGCTGTGTTCATGGGCCACCGTCGCCTGCAGCACCTGAGAGAAGGTGCCCTGAACCAAGTGCAGGCCTGGGCCCCCGACTCTGCTGTGACTGAGGGGCCACCAACGGAGGAGAACCCTGACAAAATGCAGGTCCCCAGGCCCCTCGGGCCCCAGACTCAGGACGACTGAGACTTCCCAGGCAGCCCGGGGGGTGGTTTGTGTCTGACTGAACCCTCCCCTCCCGGAAGGGTCCCCTCCCGAGTGCGGCTGGCCTGATGGAGCAGAAGAGATGGCCGCTGGATTATTTATACGTTGCCGCTCCGCCCCAGCCTGGGGAGGAGGCCTCCTCGCTCCGCGGAGAGCGGCTGGGAGCGCAGACAGGCCTCAGGGTCCGCGCTGCCCGCCGCGCGTATTGACCGCTTAGAGTGCCTCAGTCCACGGGGAAACAGGCCAGCAGGCTGAGTCCTCCCCTACCAGGAGTGTAGGCCCCCCCTGGGGGCCTGCGCGACTGGCCAGGGCAGCACCACTCACAGAACCGAGGGCCCGCCGGGTCCCGGACCCCGCCCGTGCTCTGGGGTCCCGGAGGCCGACCACCCCACCTCCGGTCAGGCACAGCAACACCGGGCTCTCAGGGGCGGCCACGCCCCCTCCCCGAGGGCCCGCTCCAGGGCCCTGCCGCAGCCCGCGGACACGCGGGGCTCCTCCTCCAGGCCCCGCTCCGTCAGGGTCCCGCAGGGTCCCTCAGCCGTCCCCGGAGGGTAGGGGCAGCGGCCCATGAGCGGTCCACCCCTCCTGCCCCCCACCCCAGAGCCGCTCCAGCCTGACTGCTCACTGCATCTCCATCTGGTCCAGCAAGCTTCCTGGTGGTTCCGAATCCTGCCACCCCTGCTCCCACCTCCACCAGGAGACCGTGGGGGGCTGTGCTCCCACCCCCACCAGGAGACCGTGGGGAGCCGTGCTCCCACCCCCACCAGGAGACGGGGGGCCATGCTCCCACCCCCACCAGGAGACGGGGGTCTGTGCTCCCACCCCCACCAGGAGACGGGGGGGGCCATGCTCCCACCCCACCAGGAGGTGGGGGGCCATGCTCTCACCCCCACCAGGAGGCGGGGGGCTGTGCTCCCACCCCCACCAGGAGATGGGGGTCTGTGCTCCCACCCCCACCAGGAGACCGTGGGGGGCTGTGCTCCCACCCCCACCAGGAGACGGGGGGCTGTGCTCCCACCCCCACCAGGAGACCATGGGGGGCTGTGCTCCCACCCCCACCAGGAGACGGGGGGCTGTGCTCCCACCCCCACCAGGAGACCATGGGGGGCTGTGCTCCCACCCCCACCAGGAGACGGGGGGCCGTGCTCCCACCCCCACCAGGAGACGGGGGGCTGTGCTCCCACCCCCACCAGGAGACCATGGGGGGCCGTGCTCCCACCCCCACCAGGAGACGGGGGGCCGTGCTCCCACCCCCACCAGGAGACGGGGGGGCTGTGCTCCCACCCCCACCAGGAGACGGGGGTCTGTGCTCCCACCCCCACCAGGAGACGGGGGGCTGTGCTCCCACCTCCACCAGGAGACGGGGGCTGTGCTCCCACCCCCACCAGGAGACGGGGGGCTGTGCTCCCACCCCCACCAGGAGACCATGGGGGGCCATGCTCCCACCCCCACCAGGAGACGGGGGGCCGTGCTCCCACCCCCACCAGGAGACGGGGGGCCGTGCTCCCACCCCCACCAGGAGACGGGGGCTGTGCTCCCACCCCCACCAGGAGACGGGGGGCTGTGCTCCCACCCCCACCAGGAGACCATGGGGGGCTGTGCTCCCACCCCCACCAGGAGACGGGGGGCCGTGCTCCCACCCCCACCAGGAGACGGGGGCTGTGCTCCCACCCCCACCAGGAGACCATGGGGGGCCGTGCTCCCACCCCCACCAGGAGACGGGGGGCTGTGCTCCCACCTCCACCAGGAGACGGGGGCTGTGCTCCCACCCCCACCAGGAGACGGGGGGCTGTGCTCCCACCTCCACCAGGAGACGGGGGCTGTGCTCCCACCCCCACCAGGAGACGGGGGGCTGTGCTCCCACCCCCACCAGGAGACGGGGGGCTGTGCTCCCACCCCCACCAGGAGACCATGGGGGGCCGTGCTCCCACCCCCACCAGGAGACGGGGGCTGTGCTCCCACCCCCACCAGGAGACCATGGGGGGCCGTGCTCCCACCCCCACCAGGAGACGGGGGGCCGTGCTCCCACCCCCACCAGGAGACGGGGGGGCTGTGCTCCCACCCCCACCAGGAGACGGGGGTCTGTGCTCCCACCCCCACCAGGAGACGGGGGGCTGTGCTCCCACCTCCACCAGGAGACGGGGGCTGTGCTCCCACCCCCACCAGGAGACGGGGGGCTGTGCTCCCACCCCCACCAGGAGACGGGGGGCTGTGCTCCCACCTCCACCAGGAGACGGGGGCTGTGCTCCCACCCCCACCAGGAGACCATGGGGGGCCGTGCTCCCACCCCCACCAGGAGACGGGGGGCCGTGCTCCCACCCCCACCAGGAGACGGGGGGCCGTGCTCCCACCCCCACCAGGAGACGGGGGCTGTGCTCCCACCCCCACCAGGAGACGGGGGGCTGTGCTCCCACCCCCACCAGGAGACCATGGGGGGCCGTGCTCCCACCCCCACCAGGAGACGGGGGGCTGTGCTCCCACCCCCACCAGGAGACGGGGGGGCTGTGCTCCCACCCCCACCAGGAGGCGGGGGGCCGTGCTCCCACCCCCACCAGGAGACGGGGGCTGTGCTCCCACCCCCACCAGGAGACGGGGGGGCTGTGCTCCCACCCCCACCAGGAGACGGGGGGCTGTGCTCCCACCCCCACCAGGAGACGGGGGGCTGTGCTCCCACCCCCACCAGGAGACGGGGGGCTGTGCTCCCACCCCCACCAGGAGACGGGGGGCTGTGCTCCCACCCCCACCAGGAGACGGGGGCTGTGCTCCCACCCCCACCAGGAAACCGTGGGGGGCTGTGCTCCCACCCCCACCAGGAGACGGGGGGCCGTGCTCCCACCCCCACCAGGAGGCGGGGGGCTGTGCTCCCACCCCCACCAGGAGACGGGGGGCCGTGCTCCCACCCCCACCAGGAGACGGGGGGCCGTGCTCCCACCCCCACCAGGAGACGGGGGGCTGTGCTCCCACCCCCACCAGGAGACGGGGGGGCTGTGCTCCCACCCCCACCAGGAGGCGGGGGGCCGTGCTCCCACCCCCACCAGGAGACGGGGGCTGTGCTCCCACCCCCACCAGGAGACGGGGGGGCTGTGCTCCCACCCCCACCAGGAGACGGGGGCTGTGCTCCCACCCCCACCAGGAAACCGTGGGGGGCTGTGCTCCCACCCCCACCAGGAGACGGGGGGCTGTGCTCCCACCCCCACCAGGAGACAGTGGGGGGCTGTGAGGTGACTCTGGAAGTGGGGTGCATCAAGGATGTGCTGGAGGAACCCACGGAAACTAACTGCACCTCCTCACAAACCACACAGGGACACGGGCACGTGGGTGCCTAGCGTGGCGCCCGTCTATCGCAACCCCCACGCTCTGACACAGAAAGCAGTCTACCTGACGTGGGCTTTCCTCTGGTTATGCAGCGAGAGGGACACATAATAAGCAGCACACACACGCATGTGCACGTCGCACGCGTGTGCACACGCAGGCACGCGGAGCCCAGAAAGCCTGCGTATCTGCTCTGGGCTCCTCCTGCGGCCCACGCGTCCTCGTCTCTGGCGTTGTCTGGGTCTCAGTCGTTTGCCTGCAGTCCCTGAGGAAAGCAGATGCCTCAGGATGTGAAGAGCTGCGGCAGAGAGCCCGCTCTGACAGAGCTCCTCACAGAGGCCCTGGGAGATCCAGAGCTCAAAGCAGGCCTCGCTAATGAAGCCTGACAGTTCAGCCGTCCTGGGGAGCACCCGGTGTGCCCCCAGAAATGCCGTCCTAAGGGAGCTGTGGCCACGCTTTCCTTCTGCTCCGGAAAGTCTTAAAATCAACTGAGAACACCTTTGCAAATGGTAAAGGAAGATGCAAACGGTGAGCAAAGCACCAGAGTGGGTGGGCCCCGGGCGCATCCCTGCCATTCCACGGGAGGCTCGTGTGATAGCCTTGGGGGCTGCAAGCTTGTTCGTGTGCTCACACCTGGCTTCAGCAGACCTGGAGGGTCGCCCGCGCCGGGCGTTCCTCTGAGCTGGCGCGCTTTGCCCCCAGCCTCCATCGGGTTTCAGGGATTGTGTAAGTGGAGAGGAGTCCTGGGGCTCCTTGGGGGAAAAGCCAGACTGTCAGAGATGCCCAGTGGTTTTACTCCTGGA